CCCCAAAACCCCAAAACCCCAAAACCCCAAAACCCCAAATGAGAAAATAAATATTGAACGTATCCAAAACTCAATAGATTTTATGAAATTAGCTCCGAATATCTTCTGAAGACACACGATTAAATCTTTGATACAATTTATGACTATTGTTTAGTACCTTTTATCTTCCAAAAAGTAATGATAAATGACTCATATGAGAACAAATTAATTGAAATCCGGAGAGAATTCGATCCTGGAGGTAAGTCTATGATATTACAAATAGTCCGTCTTAAATATCTTGCGAACCAGACTGGATTTAGTCCAGGAAATAATGATATCTCATTGTCCCAGAGTTTGATAGAATATAAAGGTCTTACAGAAGATCTTGAGGCTATAGTAACACCTTGACATAGTACTTTCAATATCAATGGTCTCACCTTCTTGGCAACTCAAACTGACTTTGATATGTCTAATAATGTTAAAGATTTAATTGGCATTAGTCCTAAGAAAGATGAAAAACAAAATCCTCTCCATAATGATGAACTTGAAGTAGAAAAGCTGATAAACCAAGAGCCTGAAAAACTAGGCCCTTCTATTTCTTTACCTCAAGAGCAATCCTTGTGGAAGAACAGGTTGCGGAGTCGATTGATCAAGCCTAGAGATGATTCCTATCAAGCTGATCTTGATGATGTTGAAGAAGAGAAAACTAAACCCCTAGATCCTAAAATTCTCAAAGAGCTTGATGAAATTAAAAGCTGCAATGGAGATATTTGTCAAGTTTGAATCTCTAAAATCTCTGAGAAATACACTTGGAATACAAAATCTATTACTTGTAAAACCTGATTTGTGAAGATCCATGAAAAATGTTATAAAAATAAAGTCTCAAAGGATTGGAATTGCGAAAGATGATCTATGCTACTAAAGGTTGCTAAGAGGAAGAGAGCCAAGTCCCAATCAATTGACAAGAAAATAGAGATGATGGTGTGAAAGTACTGTTTTAGATCTCACGGTCTTTTGAAACAACTCAAGAACTCAACTTGGGTTCATGCTGAATGCGTTAAATATCTCCCAAAGATCTACTTTGATAAAAAGTTCACTATGGTAAAAGGAAGAATATAGAAAAACAAAGACGGGGGCTTCGTTGAACTTATTGAAATAGTACAAAAGGATTCTGACTGCAAGTAAGTCTATTTTTCACATTTTAGTGAGAAGAAATATCATGAACTACTAACTTCCATGTCTCTTGTGCTATAAATAACAACTTGATCTTAAATGAGAAGATAATGAAAGAAGTATTTATGAAAAAGCCTAAATCTAGCAATGATAGATACTTTGTCCTTTGAAATGATCATAAAGACGAATACTGAAAAGCCCAAAATAATATTGAGCTCAAATTCAAAGTTAGTAAAGGAAAAACTATAATCTTGCATTCTGAAAATACTCTTACAAGAATGAAGGGTAAGAAATTCATTCCTATTGACAAGGCTGATCCTAAAGCCCAATCAGATACTGAAAATATTGAGAATTCATCTGACAAATCTTACAAGCTAGAAGATATCCCAAAATCACAAAGACGACCAAAACGATGAACAAATCGATCGATGTCTAACTTGAAGACAAAGCGGCATTCAATTTTCAAAAAGAAGCGAAAAAGATCACCTAAAGGGCAAACTAAAAGACGAAGAATTGTCTAATTTATATCTTCCAATCTTCAAAAATCCAAAAGGGGTTTTGGGGTTTTGGGGTTTTGGGG